ACAACAACAGCAACAACAACAACGACAACAAATACAATGACTCAATAATTTTGGCACTGTATACAAGAAGTACATAAATGTGTTTTCCTAAATAAACAGAAAATATTAAACATATTATTTCAATTTCTAAAATAGCAAAATACATATTGATGTGTTTTAAATAGTTTGCCGTACTAGTCAAGCTTCCTAGCTATATATCTTGTCTGTGGCAGCATTGCCCTTCTATCTTCTTGGCATTCGTATATGTATTTTGCTACAATTTTTTGAATTTTGTTATTCGGGTTGATAAGAAAATAGAATTTATCGTTTTCACATGATAGCACATGGTTGTAATTGTGTTAATGGTCAAGGAGTACTTTCCTGGGTTTCAAGTTTCATCACGTTACTAGATTATAGATATAAGTAGTATATGTTATTGTTCTTTTGTTTTTTTTGTTTTTTTTGTTTTAGTTTCAGCGATCAATTGGTTTTGGTATTCCTACCAGAGTGTTATTGCAAAACACAACAGAAAATCAAAGAGTGAGTAAATCATAAGATTGACTTTTAACTATTAATTTTTAGGCCAGTTGTTGATTAACTGTTATTGTTAAAATAGCTACGATTTTCTTTGATATAACGAACACTTTCATTGGTTGAAAGATGACCACGTGACACTAGTTAAATCTAAATGTATCCCGACCGGGAAATAAGTTACTTATTTCCCGATAGGCAAATAATTTGCACGTGACAAGAATGGTGAAAATAAACAAGTGCACGCGATTAGAACGCGAAAAAAGATGGTTGCGTGTATTTTGCACCAATCACGATTATTTTGCTAGAATTTTCAGTGCGAATGGAGCTCGAAGCAAAAAACCCAGAGAATTTTCAGTGTTTCTACAGACTAAATACAGGCTTTTAATTGAGAAAAAATAATTCACAAAATACGAAAAGAGCGGCTAAAAATGTTGCTTTTCTCCTCGCATTATGGTATAGAAATACAAGACCATATGTGAGTTGTATTTGTAAAATCATTTGTCAGTTTTCATTCATTTTGCTCCCTCAATAAATGTTCTTATTTCGTGAATTGACTCCTCAGTATTTCTCAATAGCCCACTTCCGAGATATGCTTCGCTCGTCACGCACAAAAGTTTCAGTATGAGGCTACGTGCTAAATTAAATTAATTCTTACCGCCTGTCACGAATGACTGAGCATTTAGCACGTAGCCTCATACTGAAACCTTTGTGTGTGACAAGCGAAGCATATCTCAGAAGTGGGCTATTGCTATATATCAAAACGCTTAATGTCTGGTCCCTCGGGAAATTAGTTTTGTTTTCCCGAGAGTCTCGATGTTTCCCTCGGCTTCGCAGAAACTCAGCGGAAACTCAGGCTTCTGAAAACGGTGACGTCATTTATACCGGCACATCTGTTTTCGCACGGTGCAGATGATAATATAGCATTGTTTCCCATCGCTATCTACGCTTGTGAAAATGCTAAACTAAGTGTGGACGCGTGATGCGTTTTCGATGCATTACCAGTATCCATTGTCCAAGGTAAACTAATTATCCGTTGTTTTTTTTCTTTTTTTCTCAAAATCCCCGTGAATAGAGGAAGGACCTCTATAAAGATAAGATGAGAAATATGAGTGTTCTGGTTGGTGCGCAAGTCACTCCAGACCTGCAGCGGGACCTGGAAGACATCATAGAAATGAAAACCAGATATGCGAAGGTAAAATTATCAATCAAATGACTTGCTACTACGGTCATGCTCTTTTAGGCCAGGTTTAAATGAAGCTAGGATGATTTTGAAATCACGGTGCTAGTGTAGTGCTCGCCTCTCACCCGCATGGTCTTGAAATCGATTCATAGATTACATAGTATTACATGTAAGTGGGCATTAGGTCTCTCCCTCGAATCGAGGGTATTCTTTGGTTTCTCCATTTTTTATCCATCTGCATTACCAACCCACCAAGCTAAACTTAAAAATGTGATTTGAAAAAATTGAAATTTTTTTAGTAAGCCATGACCTGATTGATCAGTCGCAAGGCTGTTTCAGGGTTTGATAAGATTAAGCGTGTCATACCCGGCTACTGAGAGCTCACTATCACACTGATGGTGTGTGATAACCGGTTACTACGAGCTCACTATCACACTGATGGTGTGTGACACCCGGTTACTACGAGCTCACTATCACACTGATGGTGTGTGATAACCGGTTACTGCGAGCTCACTATCACACTGATGGTGTGTGATACCCGGTTACTACGAGCTCACTATCACACTGATGGTGTGTGACACCCGGTTACTGCGAGCTCACTATCACACTGATGGTGTGTGATACCCGGCTACTGCGTGCTCACTATCACACTGATGGTGCTATATACCCGGCTACTGCGAGCTCACTATCACACTGATGGTGTTATATACCCGGCTACTGCGTGCTCACTATCACACTGATGGTGCTATATACCCGGCTACTGCGAGCTCATTATCACACTGATGGTGTGTCATACCCGGCTACTACGAGCTCACTATCACACTGATGGTGTGTGATACCCGGCTACTGCGAGCTCACTATCACACTGATGGTGTGTCATACCCGGCTACTACGAGCTCACTATCACACTGATGGTGTGTGATAACCGGTCACTGCGAGCTCACTATCACACTGATGGTGTGTCATACCGGGCTGCTGCGAGCTCACTATCCACTGACGGTGTTTCATTTGTCTTATCCATAGCAAATTAAGTTATACTACCAGTTCGACAAGGACAAACTTTATAAAAAGATCACTTTACGAGAACTTGAAAATATCACCAGGACTTCCAAGGTACTTACTTTTTAAATCCAGTCATTTACAATCTTTACCTGAATTTTAAACATTAACAGCTTACTATTTCTAAATAAAGCTATTTCAAAAAAGGCTGGCAAAGATTCTATTGCATGTTGAATGTTGAATTTTGCATGACAAGCCCAAAATGCACTATAGGCGAAGTTAATGCAATCACAGCGATATAGAATTTCCCAGGGCTTTGTCTGCGTGCTATCTTTCCAGAATAAAATGACGCAAGACGCAAGACGCAAGACGCAAGACGCAAGACGCAAGACGCAAGACGCAAGNTCAAAAACCGAGGGAGAATAAACCTTCTGAAAATGTGTATTTTACCAAAAACTACTTTTGAGAAAAACACAAGTTTAGTTTCATGGGATTATAAGTTTATTTACTCAATGTTGATGCTTTTTTACGAATATTTTGACGAAAATTGTGTTCCGTGTATCCTTAAAGAACGGGATGGTGATTGGTCTTGGGCTGCAGCTGCGAATCTGAACATCTGTGAATATTCTTCAAGAAACTGATGATTTACCAATAACAAAATAAATGCTATTCTTAAAATTAGACCTTTGGTACTCTGTTTTGTTTTGTGTTGATTCAGCTCAGCTGATCACAAACAAGCCACAAGCAAAACATTTTCTCAAAGATTTTTATCAGTATGATTATTGAACAACGAATTCTGTCATGAAGAAAAGTTAAGAACAATCATTGATGGAAATACCTTTTGTTTTGGACACGGAATGGTCTTTCCATACGATTAACGTCAAACTCAACAGCTTTATAGCAAGTAGTTAGCTTTGTTTTGTACTATCTTTTATACATCAAGATTATTCATACATACCCTCTGTGGTCATCGAAGTATATGTAATTCTTGTGTCCAAAATAGGGAACAAAACGAAGGCACGTTTTTTGTTGTATTTCATTGATGGCTATCATCAGGTTTTTTCTGATATGGGCTTCAAAAAGAAACACAATATATAGCTATTTCATAAACAGGTTTCTCAAGGTTGTCATTGTTACTTGGTGCTTAATAATTTTGTTGATGTAAGTGATGACATCACAGAAAAAATATGCCAGAAAAAATTGAAGACAAATTTTGGAAAAAAAACAATGTTTTTATGGGATATTTTCGCTAAACCATCGCTCATATAGCATTTCGTGTTTGGACATGCATGCAAGATGCAAGACGCAAGACGCAAGACGCAAGATGCAAGATGCAAGATGCAAGATGCAAGATGCAAGATGCAACATTCAAAACCTTTCCCCGATTTTATTTGAAATAGCTGTAAACAAAAACAAAACAACCATTACTCGACATTTGATATTCCGAACTATGTCCCAGTGTCTAATGAATACTCTGTTTTCGTTCTTTTTCAGATAGACTGGGTGCAATATATTCGAAGAGTTTTTGCGGACGCCAATGTGAACATGACAAATGATTATGAAATTGTAGTTTACGATGTTGATTACATGAGAAATGTATCACTATTTACAAGCTCGCTGAATAAAAGGTAACAGATTGAGCCCTGAAACAACCTCTGGGCTAAATCAGGACACCTTATACCCACAGATTGAACCCTGAAGCAAATTCACATTTGATCTAAGGCAGTGCACTGGTAACTCACAGTCGAACCCTGAAACAACTACTTGAATTGGTTGCTTGATCGAACCCTCAGGGCACGGCTAATTACCAATTCGAAATGTTTCGTGGAGGGAGCAAAACGGAAGAAACCGGAAAATAGACCTCGAATAAAGAGAGACAAAACAAACTCTACTCATCATGTGATTCTCCTATTCGATCAGAAAAACTTGCTATTATGATGAGTTAAATTATCATATGACCCGTACGGCCCTGCTTGCGCGCTCTAATAAATCCTTTGGAAAAGGCCACGTGATGGGGGACTGGATCCAGGTGGGTTGAAATGAGCGGGCCGTTAACACATCCGGCTCTCCTCGTTTACGCGCACTGTATTTATCAATTTTAGCTGGATTTTTCAGCCTTTTTACGACAAAGATTGGGTCATATGATGAAATGCTTATTGACTGAGTTAGATCGGTCCGAACGAGAAAGTATTTGGCTCTTGGCCATTTATAATTGCACAGACCGATCGCAGCGAGGACCGTACAAATGACCAAGAACCTTATATTTTCCCGTCTGGCTCTCTCCTTCTCTGTTAATAAGTACATATTTAACACTTATTGACTGAGGGAAACATCGCCGTCGAGGGACCACAAACACACTGCTTTCCCGAGGTTCCAGCCAATAAGTATTGTTATATACAAACTGTCAATGAACACGAAGTAATTATTTAATTATTATTTTTTGATTATTTGATTTATAAAAACTTAGAAAAATGGGAAATCATTCCGGCAATGTTATTACTGGTTAACAACATATTGTTGCCCGCTGAGAACCGTTGCCGGGGAAACGTCAAAACTTTTTCAAGTCCACGTGATTTCCTCTCGTCCAATTAGAGTATGAGAAAAATGTTATTTTACAGTTGGCATATAACAATAAATATGAATACTTGTTTGATGGATTTCAGGTCCCTGATCAACTATTTCACGTGGCTGGTCATCGACAAAGCGGCATTTTATTTGAACAAAGATTTTGAAGAGGTTCTTCGACAGTATTACACTCAGTCTGATGGGATGTACAATAAACAGGCCATTGAAAAAGTTTGTTTTTTTCAATTGAAACTTCAGTTTGGGATGGCCCTGGGAAGGGTGTTCGTTGATGAGAGATTCAGTGGTGACAGCAAGAAAGTGGTCAGTGAATTAGTCGCAATTCGAATTTAAAAAGTAAAAAAAGCGTATAGCTTTACTGTGGAGACACTCGAACCATGAACACTTTAAGGTTATTTTACCATTTTTCGAATCATCCATTCAGAAGCCAGATTCTTACTGGAAGAAAGAAAGAAAGAAATTTTATGACATTACTTACATACTCTTTATATGAATCACGTTTCTTGTCAGGTCAAAGAAATCGTTAAAAACTTTCGCATCACCTTAATGYGTAGCATGAAGAATATACATTGGATGGAGGAAAAATCCAAATTAGCTGCTATCGATAAGGTGTGTTGAAGAATGATAGTAGTGGAAAGGATTTGACGGATGATATGAAACTCGACAGGACAGGACAGGACAGGACGGGACAGGACGGGACGGGACGGGACGGGACGGGACGGGACGGGACGGGACGGGACGGGACGGGACATACTATACCTCTACTATGCAGTATGTCAACGTTTCAATCCTGTTATATTTTAGGCCAAAAACATCATACAAACAATAGGATTTCCAGACTTTATACTAGACGACTCAAAACTGGATCAATATTATGAAGATGTGAGTAACCAGACAAAATCAATGCAACACTTATGGATATAAAGTAATTATATGGATGGTAATTATATAATGTACCTAACACGCAACGCGTCTCCTTCCACACATTAACGAAACTCAAATCGTCGCGGCTATAATCGTGCCGACACCTTTAAGCAAGCATGTTTTTTGTCAATGCTGGTTCTGTCTTGGTGTTGCAGGGCACCTGAATCATTCATGAAGACAACAAAGCAATAGCCGAGAACTATAAGCTGGGATCTTAACAATACCCTGCAATACAGAAACTCTAACCCAGAATGCAATAAAGCTTGCTACACCAAAAAGACCTACAATGCCTCAATCCTTAAGAAAGGAATCAACTGATTGACAAAAATAAGAAAAAAAGAGTTTACCTTTTTTTTAAAGAAAACAAGGGAAGATATATAAGACACAACGGGAAAAAAATGATACGCGCCAGGGATTTTATTTACTACTTTGCAGAATATAAGAGAATTTGTCGGCACAGTTTTGATGTTTTATTTATTCATGTTTGCTTCAGATAAGGATTGATGAACGCACATATTTTGAGAATGTATTTTCAGTACTGGCAGGTTCTTTCAGAAGAAATGTAATGAGACTTGGTACCACACTTGATAAGGCAGAGTAAGTGAGGATGTCATCGATCGATCGATC